TTTCATGGCAATGAACTTTGCCTTTTTGTTGGAGGATCTTTGGCGGGAGCAAGTTTCTCACCTCTCCTCCACCATTTGCGCTTCTTTGTGTTTGTGCAGGATCCTGGACCTGAGTAGATTTCTTCCTTTACAGGTGGTTTTATTTCTACCTCTTCTCAATGGAAGAGGGCCTTCTCCTGGGTTGGGGGTGGTGGTGACTGGAGGATTTCCTACCCCTCATCTGTGGCAGCATTTTTGTCTAGGACCATGAGGTGGGAGTATTCCTTTTCTTTCTTTAAAAGTGTATAGTTTGCTTTTATGAAATAGAATCTTTGAAGCAGATGATTTTTATGTTGATGCATTACTTTGGGGGTAAGGGGTTCTCAAAGTTCTCCCACCCTGACTCCAGTCCCCTGCCATGGATGCATATTGTATTAGCTGGTGAGAAAATTCAGACTCTTTTTGTGTCTAGAGTTCCTAGAGATTCTAAAATGTCACACTAACTCATACTCGATCTTTAAGAATTCTCCAACATGTCAGCTGTTGGGTTTGGTTTTTTTTTTTTTTTTTTTGGTTATTTTTGTGTGTGTGTTGTTGTTGTTGTTGTTATTGTTTTACCTGCCTTTTGGCAGCTGCCACTTTCTCCTATACTCATTCAGCTCACCTCTCTTTGGAGGGGCTTGTTATCCTTGGAATTCAGTTGCCTTCTGATCTCAGCTCTCTGAAACTGTGTCACTCTATTGCAGTCATCACTCTTTTGTGTACTTATTATAGCTATTTATTTATTTATAAAAGCTTTTTAGGGCCTCCCCCAGTGGCACAGCGGTTGAGTGCTGGGTTGCTAAGCTGCCCGCGGCCTCTGCGGCGCCGGTTTGATCCCCGGCCACCGGAGGAGGTCGCACAAGGCGCGCAGACCTCTCCTGCCGCCTGCTGCTCCCCTCAGCAGTGTACTTCGGTCCTTCTGCCTGCTCTGCTCCCCGCTCTGGCTCTGGTGAATTCTCTCACCCTCCTGTGCCTCTGACTGTACCCAGTGCTTGTATAAACAAAAACAAACAAACAAATAAATAAATAAACATGCCTCTATTAAAAAAAAAAAAAAAAAGCTTTTTAGCTCCTTCATGTTGGTTCCTTTACCTTTGGGTTACCCAGTAATCTTTGCATGATTCTTTTCCCTGATATAATAATACGTCCACTCTGATCTTTTAAGATTCCTGCTCTGGACCTGGACTTAAACATTTCAATTACTTCTATCTTTGCCCTATTGTGAATAATGCTGCTGTGAACATAAGGGACAAATATCTCTGTGATCCAACTTTCAAATATCTTGGATATATACCCAGAAATGAATTGCTGGACCACATGGTAAATCAATTTTTTTTTTTGAGGAGCTACTATTTACTTACCATAGCAGCTGCACCATTTTACATTCCCACCAACATTGCACAAGAATTCCAATTTCTCTACATTTTCACTAATGCTTATTAATTTCAAATATCATCAGTATTTTAATTTATTCTTTATAGGAGTCTTCACAAGCAACATCTTTTGTTGAAATAAGAGTTCTGGAACAAGGTGACATTTTTGTAAGTTTCTTAGTTTGTGATTCCGATTCACTTCTGATTTTAAAATGTTTTGTTTCATGATATTTGTTTAAATAAGCATAGTTACATTGAATTCGTGTTTGGTCTTATACTTGGCCTATAATATAGAAATCATGATTTATATATAAACTAAGAATAAAAGCAAACTTATGACTTATGTAATGCTCTGTAGTTTACAATGGGTCTTTAAGTCTTTGGTAATATTCTCATACTGATTCTCTGCTCTATAACTAGTCTTTCTCGAATGCAAATCTGATCATTTAACTGTAACTTAAAGATTTTGATGATTTTCTATTGCCTATATAATAACTCAAACCTCTTCAGCATGGCAAATCATTCTCTCTAGTTGCATTTTTCTCCCACCCTTCATTTCAGTCAAATCAAACTGCAAGTACTTTGCTGACTATTCCAAAGCAAACCTCTGAGTGTTTATTTATGTGCTTCCTTCTGCTTAGAATACCCTTCGCAAATCACACCCCAGATTCACTGAGAAATATTTCTCATACTTTACCAAGACTCAAGTGGTGCCTTTTTTCATGATGTCTGTCCTATCTCTCTCCCATGGTGTCAGCGAGCTGTCCTTCTAGTCAAATTCTCACAAAGTAGAGGTGACCTCTCCTTTCTGAGTGCTGTGACCAGGACAAGTCTTCTCTATGAGACTCACTTCATTTTACTACATTGCTCATGTCTTTCTTTTGAGACTGTGGACTCCTTGAGGGTAAGGTCTGAGTCTAGTATAATTCTGATCTGTCTTAGTGACTGACACTTAATAGATGCTCAATAAATGTTGAATGAACAATTAAGTAAATGAAGGGGTGGATCTGTGAGTAGATGGCCAGAGGTGATAAGATAAATATTAATATTCCTGCAAGATAAAAATGATTTAAGAAACATCTCAGGATCAAAGCACATTAACTTGGAGACTAAAAATCAAATCCAGATCTTCTAACTTAATGGTTATTTCTCTCCACAATGTTGCCTTCTAAATTGAAAATGCCAACATTAAAAACACTGCATAAAGGGATATATTTTATTTACTAATGTATTTATTTGTTTGTTCAAATTATTGATCTTTTAATAGACGGATATAAAACTAATCTGATTCCTTCAACATATTTAATTGGGTTTCTTTCCTGATGTTCCTGCCTGTCTCATTATGAATGACTTCATTAAAACAAGTCAAGTTTCCTTGTAGTTTTGGTAATAAAATCTTCATATTAATATCATCAATATCCAAGGAGTTACAAATATTTGCAAATTCTTCCTTCAAATTATATCTCACAATGATTTTTTTCCCTCCCATTTTCCCTACTGCCTTCCCAGTGATAATGAAAGTGCATGGACCCAGAGACATTGGCCTGTGTTGGCCTGTGTTGGCCTGTTAGGATTGTCACTATTTATTTAGTTAGTTAGCATTGTTGCTTTATTTTTTTCCTTATATTTTTGTATAGTGGTTGATTTCTCCTCTCAGGTGTAGTCCCCATAAAATTCCCACCACCTTTTCACCCATGAACCATCACCATAGTCCCTTGTGCTCCTCCCTCCCTGCTTTTGACCCCCTCCCTTCCCCTCCCCTTCTGTAGGTCTCAGATCTCTAATTTGCCTGCTAATTTTGTCTTTCTGACCCCTTGCTCAGTTTTCCTATATTCCTTCTACAACTGAAAGCATCTGATATTTTTCTTTTTCCATCTGACTTATTTCACTGAGCATAGCTCCATCTATGTTGCTGTGAATGGTATGGGTTTATCTTTTTTGATTGCTGAATAGTATTCCATTGTGTATATATATCGCATCTTCTTGATCCATTCATCTGTTTTGGGACATTTAGGTTGTTTCCATATCTAAGGTGTTGTAAATATCGCTGCAGTAAACATAGGGTCACTCCCTATTTAAATGACCTCATCCAAGCCACTTCACTGGTACAAGGCCCAATTCCCTCACTTAAAAAATGAGAATTAAATCCATTTGATAGCATTACTATGAGGATTAAGTGAGATAATATACATCCAATGCCCGGCATATAATGAGGTATGCAAAGCATGTCAATTCCCTCTTTACTAAATTCAGTTCATCAAAAAAAATTAGATCCTTGTATTTTTTAGAATGTGATTAGATCTATGCAAAGAGCAGATCTTGTTTTCTGCTCTTTGAGAGTTCTTTCTTAAAGGCAAAGATCAATCTCATTCATCTTTCCCATTCTCTTACATATTCTAAACAAATTTTTCCTGGTTGCTAATTACTTTCAACAGGCATGCGTGTTTATAAATTACTTTTCCATAACTTTTATGGGATATCATCATTATATAGCTCAAAAGAAGAAATGCCTACTCCTAGAACTGCCAGTGGGCACCAGAGGACTGAATATGGCTTTGCATGTAGTCAGTATGCGGGGCTTTATGGAAAGGACCCAAGAAGAGAATCAGAAGCAAAGCTCTGATTTTACAGTGACTCCATTCTTGATGAGTTCTGGAGGAATGACGCTTAAAGATTAAATCACAGTCTTCTCAGAGTTAGTTGCTACTAGAAATCTAATATATACTGTATTTAATTTTTGGTTTGCAGATATGTAATGAAAGCACCATTTTCAAATGAATATTTGCATGTCCTCTCATCGTCTAAACAAGTATGGGTTTTTAGATTAAAGATATCTGTGCTGTCTCACAACACAAGAATCTTTCATGTATTGAGTACCAAACACAGAGACACTGCATTAGTGTGTGTTTTCCTATTTGATACTCAAGCTATCCTGCAGCTTAATATTATCCACATTTCAAACATTTTAAAAAGCAAAAAGCTTGGCTTCAAGATTTGGCTCTGAGTTCCTTAGGTAGTAAATTGCAGAAACAGGATTGATAGTGAATTCTATCTGATTCTGAAACTCCTGCTCTTGAAGTGTAGCAGTATTTCCAATGAAGAGATAAAAAAATAGGAACATGGAAAAAGCTGGAATGATATATATAAATAAAAATAAGGTCCATCAGTAGCACAGTTAGTATAATTTTTATCATTGAACAATTTAGCTGTATATCCCAGAAAATTATGGTACCTTATGAGGAAAAAATTATTATAAAATTTTTCTTTAGGCAGAACCTAAAGTTGATCAGCAAAATACTTTTACAATAACTATAAATGTTGAAAAAGACCAAAATGTTTTATTTTTATTTTTTCTTATGTTGAAGGATATTTATTCAGAGTTCTTTTTTGACAGTTTGAAATAGATATTGAGCTGCTCATTGTAGCACTGTTTGCAATGCTAAGAAATGGAAAATGTCCTAACATCAAATGGTTTGAAAATAATTAAACTAATCATGGAAGTGTCTGTTGAAATATTATTTTTTAATAGATTGTTGATAGTTCTATTTATTTATATTGCCTCCACCAAATGCCCTGTGCCCATACCCCATCTGCCTCCATGCTCCATCTCCTCCAAGGCCAAAACATTTTAAATAATAATAATAGCTATATTAGACTAGCCAAACTGTCTGTCTGTCTGTCTGTCTGTCTGTCTCCCCTCCCAAGAGGTTCTCTATTTTTCCCTCCACATTTACCTCACAGACCTTCATGTTATCTAGCTTCTGGGTGCTGACTCCCTCAACTGGCTGGTGACCTCCTTCTTAATTCAGTTGTTTACTTTAATGTGTGAAGTAAAAGACTCATGCATATTGATTACTAAGCAAATGGGAATTAGTTTAGATCATCTGCCTTCCAAAACAAAAATATTCTGTTCAAGTTCCAAAAAAATAATAATCACTTATTTTTGCCGTTAGTAAGAATTTCTTAAAGCTTAACAAAAATAGATTATCTGCATTGGATACGTTAAGTTTAATTGGTGGTGTGGCTCATTCCTTTCCTGCTGATTTTGAGAGTTGCAGCTTTGTATGGATTTCAGAGTCCTGTAAACAGTTTAGATTCCCATTTTGACCCTTAGAGATCAAGTGTAGGTCCATTGCTACAGTAGAGTTAATTTTTTAAAAAATTCATGTCTCTGATTTGACCTTTTCTTTTCTCTTGCTTAATTTGATAAAGAGGTACCTCTGATTTTTAGTGACTAAGTGCTCTTGATTTTAGGGCTTGGCAGAAACAGTGGACAACTCATGTGATCTTCATTTGTGCCTGGTAAGAGTACATCCTCGTCCCAAAGTGGCCTCTCAATCTTTCTTAGAAAAATAATAGACTTTGTCCATTTGGTCAACTCACAGGAGCGCATAGACAAGACAGAATTTGTGGCAGCATTCCACAATGTAGAAATCCAAAGAGGGAGATGACCTCATGGGAATAAAAAACTTCTGTTTCAGAATTATTGAAACAATTTAAATAGAATTTAAATATATTTAATTTGACTTGAAATTTTATTGACCTAATTTTTTTTTTCAGGAGTAAATACTTTTTGGTGGAACAAGGGGTTAAGATGCCACCTATGAAGCTCTCTGTAGCCACTGCAGCACGAGTTCTATCCCCAGCCAGGCAGCTGGCTGGGGTACAGCAGACCTTTCCTATCTCACCCGCTGCTACCCTCAGCAGTGTATTTCAGTGGATCTGCCTGTTCTGCTCCCACTCTCTCTGGTGAATCATCTCACCTCCTGCACCTCTGGCCTACACCCCAGCTCTTTTATGCATAAATAAGTAACTCTTCAAAAAAAAAAGAGTAAATACTTTTTTTTTAGTTTGCCATTTTTTGTGTCTCATATTATGGATTTATCCTATTTTAATTGAAACCTTAAAAAGACTAGGGCTTTTTTTCTCATTTTTTCACAAAAGTTTTCAAACTTTTGAAAGTGTATTCAAAGAAGTTTTGGAACTTATGTAACCAGAAACTTCCTTCTAGAATCTGTACAGAGTTAGCCTGCAAGCTGTTTAATATGAGATCAGTTTCTGCCCTCAAGAGTAGGCAAAAATGGTGGAAGCATCTCTTTCTCTTTTAAAATCTTAGAGGATTCCAATTCACTCCCACCCTGCTACAGAATGTATTTTAGGGTGCCCAATGTCTGATATATTTGTATGGAGCAATAACAATTTTAAAAAGAAGGCTCATTGTAAAACCAAAAAGATTATCTGTTGAACCTTGAAGGAAGACAAATTTTGAATAATTGAATAGAGAATGGAGTCTAATATGAGAAAATGATGCGTCTTGTGTTCATAGCTCTATCCCTGGCACATAGGGACCCCTCTAGAACACAGAAGTGTACAACAGAGGTCAGAGGCATAGAACATGACCCAATAAGAGAGAAAGATCCAGAATAGGATCAGAACAGAGACACAGAACTAGATGTCCTACTGATGAGGTTTAACAGTTAACATTTGACCCACACTCCATGCTACCTAAAAATTACTTATTTATAATACTTATAAATAAATACTTATTTTATAAATTGTATATGGCTTTTCCCATTTGGGGTTCATATTTTATTTTCTTTTTTTTTAAAGATTTATTTATTTATGCATACAAGAGCTGGGGTACAGGCCAGAGGTGTGTGGGGGGGTGAGAGGATTCACCAGAGACAGAGTGGGGAACAGAATAGGCAGATTGACCAAAGCACACTGCTGAGGGGAGCAGTGGATGAGTCAGGAGAGGTCTGCTGCGCCATGTGGGTTGCTCCCCAGCTGGCTGAGAATTGAACTAGTGCTGCAGTGGCTGCGGTTAGCTTCATAGCTTGCGTCTTAACCCCTGCACCACCAGGGAGGCCCATTTTCTTTTCTTTTCTTTTTTTTTAAAGATTTATTTATTCACGCATACAAGAACCAGGGTACAGGCCAGACATGCAGGAGGCTGAGAGGATTCACCAGAGACAGATCAGGGAACAGAATAGGCAGACTGATTGAAATACACTGCTGAGGGGAGCAGCGGGCGAGACAGGAGAGGTCTGCCACGCCATGTGGTAACTCTCTGCCGGCGGGCTCGAACCCACGCTGCAGGGGCTGTGGACAGCTTCACAGCACTGTGCTCAACCTCCTATGCCACCAGGGAGCTCCCTCGGGATCATATTTTCTTAACAAATTAATCCTTTTATAGTCCTAATGCAGAATCCTTAAAGCCTTGCCAAGGAGGGCTCATAGGACTAGATGGACCCATATGACTCACAGTTTTCATCCTGGCTCACAGTTTCCTGTAAACAGCTCCTCATACATGCAGTTCACCATGTTGAGAATTAGGCTCTTGGGAGGGTGTTGGGAGGTACATTAACTCTTTCAACTCTACTTTTGGCCCTGAAGTACTCTTCCTCGTGCATTAAACAACTAAACATCCCTGTGTTTATTCTCTGTTCTAGATTAGTGAAGGAGCAGAATGCATTTTTATTCCCAAAACTTTGTTTCTAGCAGAAGCCAGCACTGGATATAGAAGGGCTGCATTAGAGCTGGTGGGAGCCTACCCCACAGAAGAGGCCATCAGGGAGCACCTGGTCAAGCAACAAGTGTGGGATGAGTACAAGGCCCAACTGTTGGCCGTACTGCGGAGGAAAGGAAACGGACCCTCTGGCTCAGCTCACTTTCACTTTTATTGAAGACTCTTAAAAGAGATTGAAAAACACAATTGGAAAGTTATTTCAGTATACACGTAGATAAGCCTTTGTGAGCTCAGGGCATGGATTTATTTAGTGTTGCTTAAGTAAATGATGCCACATCTCAACTTGCCACACCCCCTTGGTAGCCTCCTCATGCCTGGTTAGAGATACTGTTTTTTTCTTTTTTTTTTTTAGGATTTTTTATTCATACATGCAAGAACCGGGATACAGGTCAGACATGTGAGAGGGTGAGAGAATTCACCAGAGACAGAGCGGGGAACAGAACAGGCAGACTGATGGAATATACTGCTGAGGGGAGCAGCGGGCAAAACAGGAGAGCTCTGCTGCACTGTGTGGGATTCTCACCGGCTGGCCGGGACTGAACCTGCACTGCAGAGGCTGCAGACAGCTTCACAGTGCATCACCCAACCACCTGCGTCACCAGGGAGGCCCAAATTTTTAATATTTTCTTTGAAAATAATTTAAAGCATAATGAATAATTTATAGCATAATGAATTTCCATATTTCTTTACCCAGAATCACTGTTTCAGTGTTTTGCAACATGCTTTAATTCTTACAGATCAAAATTCTGTATCTAAATCAAAGCGTTATTTGTGTTTTGCTTTTATTCTGTGTTCACAATATGATTTAAGTTGATTTTATTTTCATTTAATTTGGATTTACCTTTGGGAAAAAAATTCCCTTAATCTCCTTACATTTGTTTTCTCATTTGAAACATGAAGAGTGTAATATTTATGGTTTAGGACTGTTATAAGAATTAAATGACAGGGCCTCCCTGATGGTGCAGGTGGTTGATCACAGTGCTTTGAAGCTGTCCGCAGCCTCTGTAGTGCAGGTTCAATCCCGGCCAGCCGGGGAGATACCCACATGGCGTGGCAGACCTCTCCTGTCTCACCCACTGCTCCCTCAGCAGTGTATTTCAGTCTGCCTGTTCTGTTTCCTACTCTGTCTCTGGTGAATCCTCTCACCCTCCTGCACATCTGGCCTATACCCTGGTTCTTATATAAATAAATAAATCTTTAAAAAAAAAAAAAAGAATTAAATTAGAAATGTTCATGCAAGCCACTCAGCCCAGGGGCACACAATAAATACGTAATAAATATTAGCCTTTAATTCATTCTTTCAACAAATATTTATTGAGAAACTTGTTGGTGTTCTTATTGTGTGTCTTTCATGGCTGGTGGATAACTCAGTCCCAGGAGATAAGCAATGGTAATAATAGTTAAAGTTGTAATAAGCAGATGTTGGTGAAATAAAATGAGCTTTGCTTCAAAATAATTTACAGTGGGAATGGTTGGAGGTGAGATAAAACAAGATTGTTGAAACTAGGTGATAGGTATGAAGCTTCATTATATTATCTTTTTTCTTTATGTTTGAAGTATTCCATAATAAAAAGTTAAAAAAAAACTATAAAGAGACACATACCAAATGAACCACTCTCAAATGCTTAGTAAATGTCACATTTTCTTTTTTTTTTTTTTAATAAATTTTATTGTTATATTCCCCATACAATTGCAGCCCCCCGATTCTGACCCCAATCCCTCCTCTCCCGCCCCCGCCCCCCTAAAAGTGTCTCTGGTTCATAGTTTTTTGTTGATTTTGATTTTCACTTTCTTATAGTTATTCATTTTCCTGGTCCCTTATTTAAGTTTTCTAGATTCTGCTATGAGTGAGACCATCCGGTATTTTTCTTTTTCTTTTTGGCTTATTTCGCTGAGCATGATCCCTTCCAGCGCCATCCATGTTGCTGCAAATTGCATGTGTTTATCTTTTTGAATGCTGAGTAATATTCCATGGTATATATGTACCACATCTTCTTGATCCAGTCATCTACTTTTGGGCATTTGGGTTGTTTCCAAAGCTTAGCTATTGTAAACAGTGCTGCTATAAACATAGGGGTGCAGGGGTTCTTTGGAATTGATGTTTCTGTGTCCTTTGGGTAAATACCTAGGAGTGGAATTGCTGGATCATATGGAAACTCTATGTTTAGTAGGTCCAGAAATCTCCACGCAGCTCTCCATAGTGGTTGGACCAGTTTGCACTCCCACCAACAGAGCAGGAGAGTTCCTTTTTCTCCACACCCTCGCCAACATTTGTTGTTGCTAGTTTTTTTAATATGTGCCATTCTCACTGGTGTAAGATGGTATCTCATGGTAGTTTTGATTTGCATTTCCCTGATGACAAGTGATGTTGAACATTTTTTCATATGTCTGTTGGCCATTTGCATTTCCTCTTCAGAGAAGTTTCTTTTTAGCTCTTCTGCCCATTTTTTAACTGGATTATTTTCTTTGTTGTTGTTGAGTCTCATCAGCTCTTTGCAGATTTTTGTGATCAGTCCTTTATCATTAGTGTTGGGTGCAAAAATGTTCTCCCAGTTGGTGGGGTTTCTCTTTGTTTTTGTTATGTCTCTTTGCTGTGCAAAAGCTCTTTAATTTGATGTAGTCCCAACTGTTTATCTTTGCCTTCACTATCACTGCTTTGGGTGATGTGTCTGTAAAGATGTCTTTGATGTGCAAATCACGTAGTGTTTCGCCTATATTTCCTTCTATATATTTTATGGTTTCAGGTCTTATGTCTAGTTCTTGAATCCATTTTGAGTTGATTTTTGTGTATGGTGTGAGGTAGTGGTCAAGCTTCATTCTTTTGCATGTAGCGACCCAGTTTTCCCAGCACCATTTATTGAACAAACTTTCTTTGCTCCAATGCATAGTCTTTGCTCCTTTGTCAAAGATTAGTTGACCATAAATCTGTGGGTTTATTTCTGGATTTTCTTTTTTTTTTGTCAGAATTATAATTCAATTTAATTAAACTAGTATTTACATTTTATGTTCTTTTTTTTTTTTAATCTTAAATTTTATTTTTATATTCCCCCATACAATTGCAAACGCCCCATTCTGACCCCAATCCTTCCCCTCCCGCCCCCCCCCCCCAAAAAGTGTCTCTGGTTCATAGTTTTTGTTGATTTTGATTTTCATTTCTTATATTCATTTTCCTGGTCCCTTATTTAAGTTTTCTAGATTCCTGCTATGAGTGAGACCATCCGGTATTTTTCTTTTTCTTTTTGGCTTATTTCGCTGAGCATGATCCCTTCCAGCGCCATCCATGTTGCTGCAAATTGCATGTGTTTATCTTTTTTGAATGCTGAGTAATATTCCATGGTATATATGTACCACATCTTCTTGATCCAGTCATCTACTTTTGGGCATTTGGGTTGTTTCCAAAGCTTAGCTATTGTAAACAGTGCTGCTATAAACATAGGGGTGCAGGGGTTCTTTGGAATTGATGTTTCTGTGTCCTTTGGGTAAATACCTAGGAGTGGAATTGCTGGATCATATGGAAGCTCTATGTTTAGTAGGTCCAGAAATCTCCACACAGCTCTCCATAGTGGTTGGACCAGTTTGCACTCCCACCAACAGTGCAGAAGAGTTCCTTTTTCTCCACATCCTTGCCAACATTTGTTGTTGCTAGTTTTTTTAATATGTGCCATTCTCACTGGTGTGAGATGGTATCTCATGGTAGTTTTGATTTGCATTTCCCTGATTGCAAGTGATGTTGAACATTTTTTCATATGTCTGTTGGCCATTTGCATTTCCTCTTCAGAGAAGTTTCTTTTTAGCTCTTCTGCCCATTTTTTGACTGGATTATTTTCTTTGTTGTTGCTGAGTCTCATCAGCTCTTTGCAGATTTTTGTGATCAGTCCTTTATCATTAGTGTTGGGTGCAAAAATGTTCTCCCAGTTGGTGGGGTTTCTCTTTGTTTTTGTTATTGTCTCTTTTGCTGTGCAGAAGCTCTTTAATTTGATGTAGTCCCAGCTGTTTATCTTTGTCTTCACTATCACTGCTTTGGGTGATGTGTCTGTAAAGATGTCTTTGATGTGCAAATCCCGTAGTGTTTCGCCTATATTTCCTTCTATGTATTTTATGGTTTCAGGTCTTATGTCTAGTTCTTGAATCCATTTGAGTTGATTTTTGTGTATGGTGTGAGGTAGTGGTCAAGCTTCATTCTTTTGCATGTAGCGACCCAGTTTTCCCAGCACCATTTATTGAACAAACTTTCTTTGCTCCAATGCATAGTCTTTGCTCCTTTGTCAAAGATTAGTTGACCATAAATCTGTGGGTTTATTTCTGGATTTTCTATTCGATTCCATTGGTCTGTATGTCTGTTCTTGTTCCAATACCATGCAGTTTTGATGATTATGGCTTTGTAGTAGAGTTTGAAGTCTGGGAGTGTGATGCCTCCATTCCCTTCTTTTTTTTTCAGGAGAGCTTTGGCTATTCGGGGTTTTTTGTGATTCCATATGAATTTCATCAATAATTGTTCTATTTCTTTGAAGAATGACATTGAAATTTTGATTGGAATAGCATTGAATCTGTATATTGCTTTTGGAAGGATGGCCATTTTAATAATGTTTATTCTTCCAATCCATGAGCAGGGGATGTCTCTCCATTTCTTTGTGTCTTCTTCTATTTCTTTTAACAGTGTTTTATAGTTTTCTTTGTATAGGTCCTTTACCTCTTTTGTTAGATTTATTCCCAAATATTTGATTTTTTTTGTTTCAATAACAAAAGGGATGGTTTTTTTGATTTCTTCTTCTTCAGATTTATTGTTTGTGTATAGGAAGGCTACTGACTTTTGCGTGTTGATTTTGTATCCTGCCACTTTACTGAACTGATTGATGAGTTGAATTAGCTTTTCTGTGGAGTTTTTGGGGTTCTCTATGTATAATATCATATCGTCTGCAAATAGTGATAGTTTGACTTCTTCTTTTCCTATTTGGATTCCTTGGATGTCTTTCTCTTGTCTTATTGCCCTGGCTAGGACTTCCAGTATTATATTGAAAAGCAGTGGTGAGAGTGGACATCCTTGTCTTGTTCCAGATCTTAATGGAATTGCTTTCAGCTTTTCACCATTGAGAATGATACTGGCTGTTGGCTTGTCATA